TTTTTTTTTTTTTAACTCTTCAAAAAATAAAACATGTCACTGTTTAAACACCAAAAAGGGCTGGACTACTTGTTCCTGGGAGAGTCTCCTGAGGTCCAAAAGCATGTTCAGAATTCCTCAGAAGAGTCCTATCTGGCTCTAGTGGCTCTTGAGCAGTTGATGGTGGCTGGGCCTCTCTCAACCAAACTGCATGGAATGTGCTGTCTTATTCTTACAGAACTAGTCTCATTCCTCCCACCTGTAGCCCTGAGAGGCAAGTCCACACCTGTGTGAGTCTTGGACCAAGGACACTGGTCCTCCCCCACTCATCCATTCCCGTCTCTAAACTGCTGCCTCGAGGCCAGCTCATGGCTTGGTGAAAGGCCTGGTCACTTACCTTACTCTGCTTTCTGTCCAGATAGAACTGGTGTTGGCTAATAGCCATAGCCCAAATGGACTTGATTAATGCTGGACATGCATACCAGGTGTGCACTGCAATGCCACTGTGCCCAAATGTCCTCCTTGTCACCGAAGCCCTGGGAAAGCAAGAATCACAAGTTTCAACCTTATTTATGAGGAGAGAAGCCATTTATCAATCAACGGCTTTTAGTAAGAATACATCGGGACCTAAAAACTCTGGCATGAAGATGACAGATGAGCTCACACACAAACATAGGCGTGTGCAGGAACACACACACACACACACACACACACACACACGCACCCCTGGTTGTAGGTAGGGAAACTGACTCCTCATGGCTCAGGATTCAGCTAACCTTCTGTCTTGTCAGGGATAAGATGGGTCATTCTAGGTCACTGGATGGTCCTGTCTGATCTTCACCTCTTGGCACTGGGCCAAGACAAACCTCAGAGACAGGAAAAACCTTCAGTGGTGCTCTTTACTAACCAGGCAATGCTGCCCATGGTGAAGAGGAACACATTCCTTCCTCATGGCCACAGGCCACAGCACTGGAGGGAAACAGGACTTCCTACAGCACTCCAGCTCAAAGCTCCTTGAAAGATCTGGTTATCAATTTCAAATACATCCAGAGAGCAGGAGGCCATAAAGAATCAGGAGAGGAAAGGCAGGGAAGAATGAGCCAGCTGATCCTCCAACCTCCTTGTAAATGAGACAAACCCACATGGAGTACGTATGGTGCAGAGAGGAGGAATCAGACCTTAAAAATCAAAATAGGGTTGGGCTGGAGATGTGGCTCAAGTGGTAGCACGCTTGCCTGGCATGCAAGGGTGCTGAATTCCATCCTCAGCACCACATAAAAATAAAATAAAGATGTTGTGTCCACCGAAAACTAAAAAATAAATATTAAAAAATCTCTCTCTCTCTCTCTCTCTCTCTCTCTCTCTCTCTCTCTCTCTCAAAAAAAAAAAAAATCAAAATGGGAAAGATTAATCTCAATCAACATGGTCTAGAAGGTAATGGAGTTTGGGGAAGAAAAGAGTCACATGGTCATGTTCTCAATGATATTTGCTTTACAAGACAGGCAGATTAAAACAGAACAAGTGAAATTTGAGAACATGTGTTTGAATATACATCCTTATGAGGGGTTTGTGGGGGGGGGGATTCGACCTGTACATCAGAAGAAAACCGTCCAAGACTACGATATCTAATTTAGAAGAAATGTGGGGTCATTAGGATTTGTGAATAATAGTACTTCCTCCCATGTGGCCAATTTTGCCTGGAAGAAAACTTAAAGCTGCTCCTCTCAAGTGACTCTGGAGGCTAAAGATTTAACAGTGGGTCTTCTTCATTCCAACTTATAAGGAGAAATTCAAGTCTGGTGGTTAGAAATCTGATTCTAGGCAGGTTTTTCCTCCTTTTGGTTCAAACCAAAGTTAAGGGGGAAAAAAGTTGCCAGAGCATGAAACAGCACACAGTTGAAAGTAACTGAACAGGAGGCAGTGATCGAGGAGAAGGAGACCCCACGGGTCTCTGCAGATTTGAAAAGAAACTATGACCTGAGCTCCCCGTTTGGCTTCCATGATAATTGCTCAAACAGTTACTCCTGAGAGTAACCAAACAACAACAAAGTCAAAGTAGAGAGGAAAAATAACTTGATGGGTATTTTCATCAAGGTAGTAAGAGCTGCTTTTCAGATAAGGTAAAGGAGGAAGAATCCATGCTTCCGTGGAAGCATCTAAATCAGAGTTTTTATCTGGCTCTAACATTAATTTTATCTCCTCTACTCATCTCTCCTCTCAGGCCCTTCCCACCCCACTGACTTTTCTATTTTCCCCAAACCTTAGAACTGAAATAGTATCTGCAAACCTACAGAATGGCAGAAAGAAAGGCAAGTAGGAGGCTGTATGGGAGTTTGCAGTTCACTGCATGTCCTGTGTCCTGAGGGGAAGGACAAACCATGGGATCCCACCTATCCTGATCAACTCAGAAAGTACACCTTGGCCCTGCATGATGTCCCTGTCGTCCCAGTTTCCCACAAAGGACATCTTTGTTATATGATTTTATCTGGCACTTCCCATCCTATCAACTTAATTCCCACTCCCTTCCTGGCCTGGGGGAGGAGTTGACCCTGAACACCACTATAAGGTGAGGGCATTTTGATGAACCTTCTCTGATCTAAATAGGCAAGGCAACAAGCAACAGGAGGAGGTGTCTAACCTAAACTGCTACTTCGGGCTGTGGGGAGGGGACCACCAGCTGAGGCAGAAGGCCTGGCAGCAGCACTGCCTCTGCCCCTGAGGTAGCCAACCAAAAGCAATTCCCTTTCCTTAGGCATCTGGAGAATGGGTCTTTCCAGCTGAAGCCACAATGAGCTTTTACCTCCCTGGGCCTCTTTCCTTGCCTCCCTTGACCATCCTGCTCACTTTTTAAAAAAAAAATTTTTTTATTAATACCAGAGAGTGAACTCAGGGGCACTTGACTACTGAGCCACATCTCCAGCCCTATTTTGTATTTTATTTAGAGACAGAGTCTCACTGAGTTGCTTAGCACCTTGATTTTGCTGAGGCTGGCTTTGAACTGAAGATCATTCTGTCTCAGGCTCCTAAGCCACTGGGATTACAGACATGTGCCACCATGCCTGGCCATCCTGCTCACTTCTAGAAAAACAGAGTGGACTCCGGGCTACTTTTCCAGAGTTCACACTCCAAGCCCAGGCTGCTACCTTTGGGTTCCTTCACCTCCTTCTTCTGTGTATACCAGGCCCTCCCTCTCTCACCTCATTTTCTCAGTTGAGGAACATCCATCTGACCCCTTAGCCTCCTATGGGCCCACCTCAGGGCCTCCATATTAGTTACCCTTCCAGGTTCCACTCAGGTCTCCCTCCTTAGGAAGGCTCTCCTGAGCAACTGGGCCCTCATCATCAGCCTCATTCAGCATATATGTTCTGTGCCATTTGGCACTTGGCACCCCTACTTTGTGTATAATGTAGCAAAAAGAACATGATCTTTGGCCCCAGACTTCCTGGTTCAAATCCTGCCTGTACCACATAGTAGCTATTTGTAACCTCAGAACTGAAATAGTATCTTAGAACTGAAATTGTAACCAGAGCAAGTCACTTCATTCCTGTGCCTCTCACACAGAACAAGACCAACAGTAGGACCTACTTCCTGGGTTGCAGTGAGAGGATGTAGACATGCCATAACCTCCTCACGTGTCCATTCATTCTTCTGCCTGTCCCCACAACTATGCCAGAAGTTATAAGGAAGAGGACCCCATCTCAATGTACATGGGATTGATCCCTTCTGTTGAATAGGCTCAAGATCACTTAATGGTGATATGTGAGGTTTGGACCCTTTCCGATAGCCTTGGACTTTGGAAAGGGGATTTAGTATTAAATCACTGATAGGATGATGGATGTAGAGAGAACACGTGTGCCCCCCCAACACACACATGGTTAATGGATTTGTCCAAGGTGACCCTGAGTTAGCAGAATTCCCAATAGAACATTGGCATAGAGAATCTGTCACTCTCCTATGCACAGCCCCTTAGATTATCCAATTTTTATTTAATTTTTACTGTCAAGCATCCTTTTTCTGCATCTGACCCATGGTGGCAGAATTCATTTCGCCCTTTTTAACACTTGTTTCCCCTCCTCTCATCTGCCTAGAAATCTGGTCCAATACAGTTCACCTGAAAAAATAATAGTGCATTTCTTCTTGGCTGGATTCTATTTTTGGTATCCATCGCTCCCTCCTTGGCCTGCACAGATGCATATGTGTGCTCTGCAGAGAAGCGTTTTAGAACATGAAACCAGTCCCAGGACCCTTCGAAATGCTGAACAAGCTGTCCTTCTGCTGATGATAACATCTGATCTGACTGCAGAGACTTGAAAGCTTTCGAAGGGTTTCCAGCTTCTAGAACTGTAGTAACTGTGGGGCAGGGAGAAGCTCTCACCTATGCATGAGGCTGCTTCAAGCAGATTAAATGGCAAAGTGAGCAGTGCATGAGTCCTGATGGCTTATCTTGCAGCAGAAACTCAGGCTACTGCACAAGCCTCAGCTCTCTCACTATGGGCGTCATCTTAGCATCCCAAGGGCAGCTTGTCTCCTATGCCAGAAGCCCTGTGTGAGGTGGGACTGGTGCCATCTCCTCTGGAGTCCAGAGCTAGGTGTCAATAGCACCTCAAATCCACTGAGTGTCTGATCTCTTTCCTACTTTCCCAGGGCTATCTTCTTGTTGTCCATGTTTCAGACCTGAGTAAAGTGATTTATTCTTATGTGTCGGGCCTGATTCTAGGAAATTCTACTGCTGCTTATGGGCTGCCTGCAACTTTAGGACTGCCAGCAGACAAAGAAAAAGCAGAGGGCAGGAGCTGCCCCGACCCCTTGTACGCCAGTTCACTGCAGTCCTTACTGGGCCCTTATTGTCTGGCTTCTACTTGGAGCAAGGATCTTTTATCCTGGTGCTCTCTGGGGTACAGTGTGGGGTGGAGGGAGAAATAATTGTATTTCTTTCATATCCGCCCACAATGCTAACATTCTAAAATTATAGCTCCTGGAATAAAACAGTTGAGCACAACTGCTTCAGTGACAGATTCCTTTTGATTGTCCTGCCTGAACCCACTCACTCTCAACTGCTCTGACAAGGGAGCCTTCGGCCTCTTCTCTGGCAAAAGCTTCCTAAAGGGACTTGGGCCACTGCTGGGGTTTAACTCTGTGTTTGTTACAGAGTGCCACAAAGCTTCCCTCCAGCTCTGTGGTGTGCAACACACACACACACACACACACACACACACACACACAGAGACAGTCATGAAATTGCTAATTTCACACATTCTCTCACACACACATACACATACTCTCACACATGCGCTTGAACCTACCACATTTACCAATAAAGCTTTCCATTCTGATTTGTACCCTGTTCTCCATGATTCACCATCCTCTCCCCCCACCCCAAACTAAACACAAACAATGACAGCCCCAAAATAATAATATAAATAATATGTCAGGCATTCAGCAGAAAAGGGCTTTTCAAGCTTACCTGCGGGGGTCATGAACTTCCACAGAAAACTTCTTTTCTCTGAAATACAGGTTTTCCAATTGCCTCCATTGGAATATCTGGACAGAAAACAGTGTAGTTTAAACTTAGGAGCGCTGCCTTCCCAGCGTTGTTGTCCCGTCTTTGCCCGGTTAACTTTCCACAGCTGGCAGTTTCCTTATCAAAGCAGAGACGGTGCAGTTGTTTGTGCTCCTCCGCTGGTGCCTGAAACCACACACACACACACACACACACACACACACACACACACACACACACACACACACACACGGCAGCTCTCCGTTTAAAACCAGGCACCGTGGGTGTGGATTTTCCTGCAGGTTTCTAAACGGGAACAAAACAAGTTCTTTTCCACTTGCTCCCCTTGGGTTCGCCTTTGTTGGATTCTCAAGACAGTTCCCAGCTCTGCAGACTTTTCCCTCCAAGGACAGGGGGGAGGGGAAGGGAGCGCAGAGAGGAGGGAGGGAGAGGAGGCCGAGAGAGCACCGGGCGCTCAGAGGGGAGCGGGAGCCATCTGTGCCTGCCGAGTGCAGTGCCGAGCCGCGCTTCCTCCCCTCAAGTGCTGAAATGGGAAGGCGTTCAAATTCCCAGCCTCCCTTCGGGACTCCACTTCCTGCCCGCTAATGTGCAAGAGCCTCCGACGCGCTCGCAAAGGGCGGAGGCTGCCGGGACCTGAGTTAGGGGCAGGCGACTCCAGATCACAATATGAGACTATCATGCCCATTCTTTCTTGGTGGCACAAAGAAAAGCAAGAGTTGTATCCCTAGAGGGACACTGCAGCCAGAGCCCTTCCAGCAACAGAAGGAAGCAGAGAGCTCCCCTTAACTAGCAGTCTGATGGTAATGCTGGGAAGCAATTAGGGCTGCATGGAATTGCTCTAGGAACGGGGTTCCTTTCACTGGATGAAAATGAAAGTTGCTTCACCCTCTGGGAAATGTCAGGAGGATAAAGTCAAGCGCCCACATGTTTGCATTTATGTTGACGGATGTTGTATCCCCTTCCATAAACTTAGGATGTGACTTTATTTTGCTGAAATAGAGCAGAAATCCTGTTCTCATCCTTCCTCTTGGAGATGACTGATTCTTCCCCGGGATCCCCCTTTTTCTGCCCACTAAGTTGGGACATACGCTTTCTAAGGTCTCATTCCAGACCCAGAGTCCTCTGACTGGAGGCTCCTGGCCCATCCTGACTTGCTCTGTTTCCTCCACCTTAAACGATGTGAGGGCCACTTCTCTGCATCAGATCACCCTGTCAGATCCTGAGTCAGGCTCAGGATGCTGGTGGTCAGTGCTTGGCCAATCGGTTCACCATCCACATAGAGATGAGCTGGTATAAAACCGTTTTCTAGGATGGATTCATCTTTTATCTTTACAGTCTCCTCTCTGAAATTTTAAAATTATTTTGTCTCTGTAGGTAATAAGATGGGAGACATCAACTGCCTCTTCCTACAGAGCTCCCTCTTCCATGAGCAGCTCAGAGTGCAATGTACTCTGAAACCCAAGGAAACTATACTTCTCTCTCTCTCTTTAAGGGTCAATTTCAATTCCAAGTGGATGGAGAGACATTTGAAGGAAAGGAGGAGGCTCTAAAGCCACGCTCTGGCTCAGACAGCTTTGTGTTCACCTGCCTTAGCAGTGTCTTTACTATTCAAATATCACATCAAGGGCTCTCCTTGGATGCTTTGCCACTGTGAATCCCTCAATAGAAACACCCAGAGTTCTCTCTGATCCCTGGTTGCTAGGTTTTTATGGAGTTTTCACCCAAATTTCATGATAGTCAAAAAAAAAAAAAAAAAAAAAAAGCCCAGAACTAATAGGTTCTATGACATTGGCCTTTTCACCTGCAGGTCACACATAGAGTAACAAGGCCAGGCACCAAGGCTTTGGAATTTGACTAAGACATTTGGAATCTGCTCCCATACTTCCAAGTTGCTAGACCTTGGGCAAGTTGCGGCATTTCCTTTAGCCTCAGTTTCCCCATTCATAAAATGGCAAGAAAGGGCCCCCAAGATGGATCTTAGCTGCAGCAGCTCCTTAGCACCGTATTGGCACAAAGTAAGTACTCTCCACACCTGGATCTTGCTGATTCCTAGTTGTTCTCACTTCCCCCCAATACTGGCAAATAAATAACTGTAGGCTTTTAAAAAATTTTCCTAATGAAGCCCCCTGACTTGGAGTTTAAGGGGAATTGTATTATTTGAAAGCTGGAAAATTTTAAGTATAAAGATTCATTTTCTCACCCTATTATCTGTCCTCTTTCCTCTGAAAAAGGGGAGATGGATCATTGATGGCTGATGGCCACTCAGCCCATGCTCTTGTACCCACCTTGACCAGGCAAAGTGGGATCTTGGATGGGACTGGCTTCATGGGTGTGTGACCTGAAGGACCCCCCCCTCAGAAAGACCCTGTGCTTGGATGAATCCTGTTGTTGTCATCTTGAAATTCTTAATAAGTTTTCATCAAGGGGCCCTCATTTCCATCTTGCACTGGCCTTGCCAATTATGTAGCTGATCTGGCTCTGGTGCTGGTGCTGGGGTGCTGACAGGTTCTGTCCAGGACTCAGCAGCACAGTTGGGGTGGAGGTAAGGTAGTAGGAGGACCCAGGGAGGCTGGATTCTCCCATCCCCTACAAGGAGAAAAGGTAGCCACACCTGGAGTGATCATATGTGAGAAAACCCCACTTGTGCCTTTTCATTTGAAGCCCCCAGATAAAGAACCCAGAGCAGAATGCTCAGAGGGTTGGTTCCCTGGCAATCCCTCCTTCCCCCACTCCTTGCAAAATAAAACACAGACCACGCCTTTGCTCTAAGTGGTCCCTCATGCTGTTCAGCGTGGAGATCCTCAAGTCTGCCAACGGGACCAAACAAAACCATCTGGGCTTGCTGCAGCCCCTCTGTCTGCGGCCACTGTGGCTGCCCCTGGGACAGCTTCTGCCTCTGGCTGCTGTTCTCAGCAGTGAAACCTGGAGTTCTGACTCCCAGGCATGTCTCTAAGATGATGTACTGTCTGTAGAAACAAATGTAACAGGGGGCAGCACAATGGATTTCCCTGCTTTAAGCACTTTATAGATGTGTTTTTTATCTTACAAATGCAATATTGGGAGGGGGAGGTGGGAGTGAGATGAATGAATGACAGGGTAGTTTTTCAGGATGGCATTGTTGTGCTGGGCATGAGAAGGGTGGCTGAGGATCGTTTTCTCCTCACTTAGAGGAGGGGGCAGAGATGGGGAGCTGGGCACACTGGTGAGTTGAAGTACGGAGACAGCAGGGATAGAGGGCAGGGATAGCTGCTATTAGAGGCCAGGGGCAGCTGTCACTGGGCTCTTCCTGGAACCTGGGGTATTTCTGCTCACGTGCCCTGTGCCCATGGTTCGGAGCCCCTGTCTGCTCAACACTCTGCTTTGTGGCTGGCAGAGCAAAAACAATAAGCAAACAAAAGATGCTTGATCCTGCCTCTCTCTTACAGACAAGGAAAGGCGGCTCTGACTGTGCTGGTTCCCGGGCAGCCCCTCATCGTCTGAGCCGCTCCAGGGAAGCCTCCTTTTCTTGGCTATTCAAGCAACCATCATATGCCAGCCACCACTTAAAGATGTCGCTGCGCTTTGCAGCTCCACATAAAGACCCATGGGACACTCATAATGATCATCCTTAGGCCTGGGCTACTTCCCTTAGGATAATGTGTCACTCCTATGCCAATTATGCCTGTGGAGCTAATTAAAAGCTCAACTGTGTAGTTCTATCAATAATCAAAGGATTTGTTAATTAAAACCTACAAAATCAAGGCCATTCTAATGCCTTCATCTAGGCATCTTTAAAAAAGTTCTGCAGATGTCATTTTTTGTTTGTTTGTTTTTGATCATTTAGGATCCCTCGAAAAGAGTGGCTGGGAAATTTTCTTGGGGAAAATGAGGCCCAGAGAAATGAGGGGAAATGGCCTAGGGCCACACAGCAAGTTAGTGAAGGAACCAGAAATAGAAGTCAAGGGCACCTGGTCCATTACCCCAACCTCTAACTATGTTGCTTTCCTCTTGAGTCCACCAATTAGTGGGAACAGTTCCTAGTCACTAATGGGTGGTTAACTTTACAAGTGGAATGATTTTCGCAAATGAGCAACAATGTGTCTGGCAAGGAAGGAGGATGTATAAAACCAAATCGTTTTAGCCCTACACAATGGCTTTGCCTTCTCTTTATACCATAAATGATAACAAGTATTACTTTCTTTTCTTGGAGACCTGACTTCCTCTAATTTCCCACATTGCAATCACCTCACTATTCAGTAGCTTTCGATCAAGGACTAAGAAACAACAATAATCATGATTAAGAACAGCCTCAATGATTTGGGCTTGCATAGAAAAGAAACTTAGAGGAATCATCAGGGAGTTGCTGGGTGTAGTGGCGCACACCTGCAATCCCAGCAACTGAGGAGGCTGAAGCAGGAGGACCTCAAGTTCATGGCCAGCCTGGGCAACTCAGTGAGACCCTTTGTAACTTAACAAGACCCTGTCACAAAATAAAAAGGACTGGGGATGCTCAGTGGCTTAAAAAAAAAAAAAAAGGAAGTGGTTTCACCAAAATAGGGTTCATCACCATTGTTGAGACCCTGGGCCTAGATGTAGGTTCTTAGTTTCTGACCCCAACATGCTGTGATTCCCAATGTAGTCACAAACCTTCTACTTGGTTTTAATGTACTCATGTATAAAACAGAAGATGAAGGACATTTATCCACAAAGAACAAACGAGTAGCTAATAATACTGCTTTTGAGCCCTGAGTGCAACAGGGTGTACTATAAATCCTTAATGAGCCAGGGCCTAGGTACTGGTTCCTATTAGCTAGTCTGCTGGATTTGAATTCCCACATCCTGTGTATGGCTGAAGGCTAGGGCAGAGGAAGGGGCCTCGGCTCCACTGGACTTCCTCTGCAGCCAGGGTTTACCGAGTGCTGGGATAGCATGTGGCATGGTGGGCAAGCACTCAGGATGATGTGGAAATATGGGCTTGGGAGGAAGCTCCGTCTGGTGGCTCTTATTCTTGATCAGGACTTCAGGGAGCCTTGTCTTCCTC